GAGGAGAAAAGTTTTTAAAACTCGTTTCTTCAGATGCTAGGAACAACAGCAGTCATAATAATAATATTCTAGAGAATATTATTGATATATTGATAATAATAATAATAATAATAATAATAGTTTTTATTTATATTTCCCGCCTCTCCCTACGGGTAAAGGCGGGATTACATAATAAAATGAATACAATATGCAAAATACAAACAATAAAATAGTAAAATCAAACATCAATAATAAATTATAAGAGCATAAAATATAATATAATACAATAAATAAAAATAGAATAAAATATCTATCGGGGAGCATTGATTTGATTTTGATTTTCTATTGATAGAAGAGTGATGGTACTGGAGGTTTTGCCTCTTTAGAAAAGCTCTTTGTGTCCCAAGTGGCCTTAAAGGCAAAAGATACTTTAATTCCCCCCCTGTATATCCTTATGTCCAGGTTTCTCAGTTCTCCAGAACAATGTGGCTTCCTCTGGTGCATCTCAGGTCTAGCAATTGCACAACAAATTTTTTTTGAGGGTTGTTTTTAAAAGTCTTTCTGCAAAGGGCCAGAGTAGTGTAAAGCTTTTAGCATTGGATTGGGACACACTGGGAGACCAGGGTTCGAATCCTGGCTCGGCCATGGAAACCCACTGGGGGACTTTGGGCAAGTCACACTCTCTCAATTCCTTCAGAAGGTAGAATTCAAAGATATATAGCTGTGTTAGTCTGTAGAATCAGACTGAGTGACCTTGGGCAAGTCACACTCTCTCAGCCTCAGAGGATGGCCAGGGCAAACCCTTCTGAAGAAAGTATGTAGATAGATCTTGTAGCACCTTTGAGATTAATTGAAAGTATGAAATTGGCAACATGAGCTTTCCTAGACTTCAGTCTATGCATCTGAGGAAGTGGGTTGAAATCTAGGAAAGCTCATGTTGCCAATTTCCTTCTTTCAGTTAGTCTCAAAGGTACTATAAAATCTCTCTATGTACTTTCCTCAGAAGGGTTTGCCCTGGCCATCCTCTGAGGCTGAGAGTGTGTGACTTGCCCAAGGTCACTCAGTGGGTTTTGATGACCGAGCGGGATTCGAACCCTGGTCTCCAAAGTCATAGTCCAATGCTCAAACCACTACACTGAGCTACCATGTTCTAAATGCAATTGTTGCTCCCCAATAGAGTAGACCCATGGAGTCAAGGAGTACTTGGTGAGTCAGCCTCAAGGTCCATTGATTCGGTGGAGGGCCTCCGATTCGGATTAAGTGTGTGTGTGTGTGTGTGTGTTCCCTAGTGGTTTGAGTGTGGGACTCTGGAGACCAGGAGACATCAGGGGTAGCTGTGTTGGCTATTTATCAAATCCAAA